TCCAGGTCTGCTGGATCTTTGCTTCTGAAGGCGCTTCCATTCATGCAGATACTTTCCAGGAATTCTGCTTCAGCATTACTTTCCTCCTTGCTCTCCTTTGCTCTGTTCCGTGTTGTAGACTTTGACTAGCTCTAGTCCCTTGTTGGGAGCCCTCTAAACAGGGTTGTGCCCAGTTGTTCAGCAAGGCGTTCGGGCTTGCGGTTGTGTGTGTGTGTAATGAAACTGAAGCTCAAATCCTTTGGCCACCCAATGAGAAGGGAGCACTCACTGGAGAAGACCCTGCTGCTGGGAAAGATTGAAGGTCAAAGAAGACGGGGACGGCAAAGGATGAGATGGTTAGACAGTGTCATAGATGCAACGAACATGACATTGAGCCAACTTCAGAGGACGGCGGAAGACAAGAAGGCCTGGCGTGATCTGGTCCATGGGGTCGCGAAGAATCGGACTCGACTGTGCGACTGAACAACAACAAGTGTGTGTTAAATGCCGTCAAGTTGCCTCCGACTTATGGCAGCCCCATGAATTAATGTCCTCCGAAACATCCTATCGTTAACAGTCTTGCTTGGATCTTGCAAATCAAGGGCCGTGGCTGCCTTTATCCATCTCAGGTTGGGTCTTCCTCTTTTCCTGCCGCCTTCAACTTTTCCTAGCATTATTGCCTTTCCCAGTGACTCTTGTCTTCTCATCATGTGACCAAAGTATCATAGCTGCGGTTTAGTTGTTCTGGCTTCTAGGGAGAATTCAGGCTTGGGGAGAACAGTCAGTTGGCTCAATTTTCTCTAAGAAGCAAATGGCCTGGCGAACAGGCCACCTTTACGGAAGCTACCGAAGGCGCCATGTTAAGCATGAGATGGCTTCTCCTAGGTTGTTGGCTGTTCTTCTGCAGCATCTCTCCGTGGCTCTGAGATCTTCCTCCACACCTCGAAGACCCAGAGTTCCGGGATTAATCATTCCATCGCTCTATCCTTTGTTATGATGCATCCAAACCGGATGCACTTGAGCGATCGCCCCTCCCCTGAACAGTGTGTGGGGTCTCCTCATCAAAAGCGGGCTTGAATTCGCTGCAGTTCCAATAAGAGGGCGAAGGAGATACCTCGACTTGTGAAACAGCAAGCTCCCTTCCAGGATATGTTGGCTCCGTGCTGCCACCCGTAAGGCTTTTCCCAGCTCGAGGAGACCCTGGGAGCAGCTGAGATGCTCTTTGTGTTTTCGCAGCAGCAAGGGTCCCAGTAGTTTAATGTTGAGAAGCGCTTTCGATGGTCAGCGTGAACTTGCTCTGCGTCCCCTAAGCTCCTTCGGGCTTTGTAGCCCTTTCCCTTCAACAGCCTTTCGGTCGGTCTTTCATAAGTCTTGAGAGAGAACGTGTGTGCATGCGTAGCTCTGTTAGCTGAGGGCAGGTTTATAGAAACCCAGATTGGTCTTAAGCAGGGCTATTTTGGGGCAGGAACACACAGGAACGGAGTTCCGGCTGGCTCCCAAGTTGGCCACACCCAGCAGGAACTCATTAGCATAATAGGCCACACCCAACAGCAGGAACTCATTAGGATTGGCTACATTAGGGGTGTGTGGCCTAACATGCAAAGGAGTCCCTGCTACAAAAAAAGGCCCTGGGTTTTGACAACAAACAAGGTTAACAGAATAACAAGCAAAAGGTGGGTGTGGCTGGATGACCACACTTCTGGTAACATGGGGGTGCGGCCTAATGTGCTAATGAGCTGTGCTGTCAGGGGTGTGGCCCAATATGCTAATGAGTTCCTGCTATTGGGTGTGGCCTATTATGCTAATGAGTTCCTGCTGGGCTTTTTCTACAAAAAGAGCATGCAGCAAACTCATGCGGTGGCAATAAACAGGCTGCCCGATCTGCTTACAGCCACAGTTCTCAACCTTTTGGGATGGTGACCTGCAAGTCCAAATTTACTTGCTATGGTGACCCATGCAGGGCTGGCCGAAGGTTTTTTGGCACCCGAGGCAAACTATGACCTCGGCACCCATCTAGTTCAGCATTCTGTTTTCTACAGTGGCGAACTAGATGTTTTTGAGAAACTAATGAACATCTCACAAGGGGCACAGCTGCCCCCCACTATGAACCCCAAGCAAGTGGCATTCCAGCATAGGTAACCTTTGCATAAAGAGGTTACATTCCAGCCTTTGAGTACCCCCTCCTCCGTTATTTGCGTTAATCCCCCCTCCCTGATTGTCACTCACTGTGATGAACATCAGGACATGTTTTACTTGATTGACATGTATTATTCTTATAATTTTATTTATTTATTTGATTTATTAATTGCCCTATCCCAGCTTACACCGGGGCGCTGGGTGACATACAAGGGGCAGAATGCCATAACACAAAATACAAAGTTTTAAACTGTCCATATACAGTTGATAAGAAGTGTTCCCTCTAAGCTGAGTTAGTGTGTGCTAGCTCACAGTTTTCTAGCCTCTGGCTCACACATTTTTGTCTCAGCTCAGGAAGGATGGCTCCAGAGTACACTGATTTATGCAGTAGCCAAATCACTCGCTCACCACTTTAATGCCAGTAGCTCACAAAGTAGAATTTTTGTTCACAAGACTCCACAGCAAAACCAGAGTAAAAGGATCCAAGGTGGCGACTTACACATTTCTGGACTGCCCAGCCATTTGGTGGGAAGGGGGAGAGGGAACTAAAGATTATACATGGGAAAGAGCAGGTAGAGAAAGAGGTACTTTTCTCCCTTTCTCACAATTCAAGAACTCGTGGGCACTCCATGAAACTGCTGAGTGAAACATCTCTGGCTGACAGGCCTTGTGGAATCGCACTGGGTCCTGCTGGTCCCTGGTGTATTTCCGCAAAAAGAAGAAAAGAAACTGTGAGGTAACTGCGCTAGATCAGTGGCGAACCAGATGTTTTTGAGAAACTAATGAACATTTCACAAGGGGCACAGCTGCCCCCTACTATGAACCCCAAACAAGTGGCATTCCAGCATACGTAGCCTTTGCATAAAGAGGTTACATTTCAGCCTTTGACTACCCCCTCCTCCGTTATCCTCCGTTATTCGCGTTAATCCCCCCTCCCTGATTGTTACTCACTGTGATGAACATCAGGACATGTTTTACTTGATTGACATGTATTATTCTTATAATTTTATTTATTTATTTGATTTATTAATTGCCCTATCCCAGCTTACACCGGGGCGCTGGGTGACATACAAGGGGCAGAATGCCATAACACAAAATACAAAGTTTTAAACTGTCCATATACAGTTGATAAGAAGTGTTCCCTCTAAGCTGAGTTAGTGTGTGCTAGCTCACAGTTTTCTAGCCTCGGGCTCACACATTTTTGTCTCAGCTCAGGAAGGATGGCTCCAGAGTACACTGATTTATGCAGTCGCCAAATAACTCG